TGTTTATAAAAATTTTAGCCTATTTTCACAAATATTGTGAAAAAAACAAGACATATGTTGAAGTAGATCACATTTTATTAAAATTCAAACAACATTTGTGAATTTTGATACCTTTCACCTCGGTTCATTCATTTGAAATTTTAATTAGTTATAAAATATTTTTATGATATAGAATAATTATATATTTTATGTTGGGTTGGGTTTTTACTTAAAAATATCGCCAACCCGACCCAACCCAATTAGAAACAAACCGTAGGGTTTAAATTTTTTGGGTGGGTTTGGGTTTGATATTAAAATGACTAAACCCGAACCACCCGACCCATGTACACCCTAGTCATGCTTGACCCCCTTTGTGGTGGTATCTCAACACTTAACCAAATTTTCACCTTCTTTTGCCGCCACATACTCAATACCCCGAGTGCAAGGTGGGTAGGCAGCCATGGTAATTGGTGCTTGACCCCCCTTGGACAATGTCATGCTTGACCCCCTTTATGGTTGATGCCAACCCTTACCAATTTTTGCATTCTTTCCCCATCACATGTAGGGATACTCTCGATGGCCCCCCTTGCACGACATCATGCTTGATACTGGAGTGCAAGGGTAGGTAGGTGGCCATGGTACTTGGTGCTTGACCCCATTGTGGTGTCATGCATGACCCCCCTTGTGGTGTCATGCATGACCCCCCTTGTGGTTGAGTCTCAACACTTAGCCAAATTTTGCCTTCTTTCCTTGCCACGTCTAGAGGTAGTTACTCGAGGTAGGTAGGCGGCTGGTGGGACGAGATTTGGCTAAGTATGGTGGGGTGCCCACTTGGGTGGTTGATGTTGAAGGGTGTCAATGCTTGGCTCTTGACCCCTCTTGCATGAGGGGTGAGTGTTTGGTGGGTCAAGGGGTGTGTGTTGAGGTACCTGGTATGAAGCCCAAAATTCCATCATTCAATCCCAACTTAAGCCAATTTAATTAATGTGCTTAATTTGGCCTTATAAATCACTACCACTCCTTGAAAATAATCAATGTGGTATTGATTGATTTTTTAGTGGTAAATAGTTTTATTTATTTTTTTTATTGTATTGTAATAATGAGGTGGAACTTTTTAAAAAAATAATTTTATTAATTGCCACTTCACATATTTAACGGTCAACTTTTAGAATTGATTGCCACGTCAGATAAAGTTAACGGAGAGTGACCGAATTTGAACGCTTGAACTAATTTGAGTAACTACAGATGAAATAAATTAATTTTAGTGGCAAACGTTCCAGTGACCAAAATTGAAATTTGCCCGCTTTATATATGTTGAAATTCATTTGATTTTAATGGTTTTCACATTTTTACATATTATGTTAAACCGAGATAAATTGATTGTAACTGATCGAATCATACCACTTGCTAAACCAACACAGCAATACAAACTAGTTTGACAACCTTGCTTAACATAAGCTGGTGCCTGGTAGTGTGGTATTTGTTGTGTTAATGTCATGACGGCCGGTTGAACCTGGTATAACCAGTGTTGGTCATGAAACAGTTGGAATAATATCAGTATGATCGACATGATCGATCTCCGGCCTCTAAACAAATTAACGTTATTTTAGTAAATTTAATTAAAAATTTCATTTATATTTTGTTTTATGAATTTAAAAATTGAATGTTTGATATTATTTGTTAGTTTCAAATATGTTTCACATTTCTACATATTTATTAAACCAACACGAACCAATCGTAGGATCTTTACCGCTTGATATACCGATGCATATATAAACCGGTTTGACATCTTGGGCGGGTAAATGCTAAGTTTGGTCATTGAGTTTACTAAAACGTGATGTGTTTAGTCACTGAAAAATATTAATATAAATTTTGATCACTAAGTTTTGTAAAACATGCATGTTTGGTCACTCTCCGTTCGTCTCCGTCCAACTCCGTTAGTTTCTTTGATGACGTGGTTAACAGAATCGCCTAGTCAGCCAATTTTAACCCAAAATAGTTTAAATCCGACTCGCCATTTCATAAACACCCAACCCGTAACCCGACTCATAACCCCTGGAAACCCCTCTCCTCTGTCACCCGCCACCAAGAAGAAGATAATTCCTTCCTCTTTCCCTTTCCAACTGATGACGAGCTGCCCGCAACGAATCAAAATGAGAACAAAAATCCATATCCATATCTCTTCCGATGAATCACTTCCCAAATCCTTACTGCCTTCCGCTTAATCATCGTTAGCCCAAAATAACCCAAACACGATTTTGTGTAGGGTTTGAAATTGGGAAGGAGCAGATTGTGAGGGTGAATAAGGAGAGCATGCGCAAAGGGATGGAGAGGGGGATTTTGGGGCCCCACTAAGCAAATAGAAAGTGACAAAAGAAGAGACAGATATGGCGAGCAAGAGATGAATGTGTGGAGTAAAAGGAAGAGAGAGAGAGAGAGACCAGTTGTTTGTGAAAGTGGTCAAGGAATAGAGAGATAGAGAGCGACTTTGTTTTGATTGTGTTGCTCTAACAACATCGGGATCTGATTATTGAGAAACCAAACATCTCTAATGCTTGCAGATCTGTGAACAAAGTAGAGCAAATTGAGGCGAGCTTGGAAGTTTCCCGACGTTGGAGGTCGGGGACCTAGCGGTGGTAAGGACCGAGGGTGACTGCTTGTGGGAAGAAGGAGTGGCGATGCTGGATAGGGACGAAATATGAGAGGTGGAAAATGGAAGGGCAGGTCTGGGTGACGGCGTTGGGCTGAGATGAAAGAGGGAGTAGATCTGGAGAGCTTGGGCGACTAAATAAAGTAGGGTCAGATCAATGGGTTGGGTATCTAATGTGGCGGGCGGGTCGGGTTTTAAGTTTTTCGGGTTAAATTTGAGTGACTTGATATCTCTGTTAGCCACGTCAACAAATAACTGACGGTGTTAACGAAGACTGACGAAATGTAATGCAGAGTAACCAAACGTGGAATATTTTACTAATTTGAATGCTCAAAATTAATATTAATTTTTTCAGTGACTAAACAATTAGCGTTTTAGTAAATCCAGTGACCAATTTTGGCATTTACCCCATCTTGGCCATTCGCCCATTCGGCATTTGTTTGACGTTGAATTTGAAAAGGCGGAGATGGGAATATTGAATAGAACGGCAATAAAGAAAACGAAACCCTAAACCCAAAATCGAATCGCGGTAGGTCTCATGCGTTCATCCCTCCCTTTCACCGGAAGGAAGCTTCGTGGGCTGCTCAGGCTCTCCTCCGCTACCCCGTAGGGATTCGAGTTGGTTTAGATTGTCGCTTGTAGTCAACGGTGGACGACATTCTACGATCATTCCGTTGCTTCATCCATTTCGATTGATCAGATTGAAACCTGCTTTTTTTCTCCTTGGTTGCTCCGTTACCTTCCTCGTTCACGCCGCGGCCGTCTCCCGCTCTCCTTGCTCTAAGCTCCTCTCTCTCTCTCTCTCAGCAGAGTGCCTCGCTTTCTATCTGTATCCAAAGTCGTTGACTAGCCAGTTGTGGTGCCGCAGCTGCCTGCGCGGCGCATTTCCTCTGTTCCACTCAAAGGAAACTCCCTCTCCTAACTCCATCCCACCGCCGTTATCGTGGTCCTGAGGTCACTACTCCTCCACCTCTCGTTACCTGCGGTTATTTTTACTACTCTGCTTTTATGTCCTGTCACCTTGCTCAGTGGTTTTTTTTTTTTGTAATTTCATCGGGCGTTGTTCTATCCGAGCATTTCTTGCTCTGTGTATCTTAGGACGTTCCTCAATTTCTGTAGTTTAACTCCACCTTCCAATTTTTCAGCTCTCGCCTTGGCCACCAGTCTTCCCGTTGAAGAGCAGCTCCTGAGTTTGTTAACATCATCTGGAGCTTAAGGTGGGGTTTTGGGCCTTTTTTCAGCTCCTTTGTTCATTGGCAGTATGTCAGTACTCAGTAGTATTGATTTGGTTCGCTGGTCTTGGTACCCAGAAACACTTGTGAAGAGCTTGCATGTAGTGAGGATGTTGATATTTGTGGTACCTATCAATCGTAGCATTAGAATTCTTACATGGCAAATTTGCATCCTTTATTGGATTCTGAAGGTGGTTCAAATTTGTCTTATGATGAACTGTTCTTTGTTTCTAGAAAAAAATAAAGTGAAAGTGTTGTACTTGCATGGTTAGGAAATGGAACCTGCTGTTTTGGATGATATTATTCGGCGGCTTTTGGAGGTTCGCAGTAGACCTGGGAAGCAGGTCCAATTATCTGAGGCCGAAATAAGGCAACTCTGTGGGGCATCTCGAGAGATCTTCTTGCAACAACCCAATTTGTTAGAGCTTGAAGCACCCATCAAGATTTGTGGTACATTTACTGCTACCTGGTGTTCTCATATGCAATTGAATGAACTTGCGTTGTTTGTTGGTTTTTCATCTATCGTTGTCCTCATTACATGTGGTTCATCTCAACCTTTAAGTCCACGTGTGAAGCTTTTCTTTTATGGCACCTTATAACATTTGTTGGTTTAGCTGTAGGTTCCCTGAATCATGGATTAGATGCTAGGTGTGGCTCCCTTCTCTTTTTGTGTGCCTATAATAACTAATTAGTTTGCCCCCGTAAGGCTTGACTCCTAATTTGAAATATTAGGATTTGAACACTGGGGGCTTGTGGTATAATATCCGAGAAGAATGAATCTTTCAATTAATTCAGTGCTTCATCATTCCTTGCTGGTGATTTTTGTCATTGCATAATAACTTGCATGAAGCTCACTGTGGGCTATTAGATTTTGATGGAGAATCTTCAAAGGCTCCTTTCAATGATTTTAATTCTCCTTTCATGAAGGCCTGTTAACTTTTATCTAACCTGAATTACCATACTCGACCCTATGTCACCCTGAAGAAGAATGTGGAAAATGAGAGTGGGAGGCTGGGGGCTTTATCTATTACGTGTTTGAGCTGGTTTCTTCCTTTATTATTCTCACTTACGGAATCACACAGCTTTCCTGAAAGTCTATTCAACATACATGGCTGATGGGCATTATTGGTGATTTGCAGGTGATATCCATGGTCAATATTCTGATCTTCTTAGGCTATTTGAATATGGCGGATTACCTCCAAATGCTAACTACTTATTTTTGGGAGATTATGTTGATCGAGGCAAGCAAAGTCTTGAGACAATATGTCTTCTACTTGCATACAAAATAAAGTACCCAGAGAACTTCTTTCTCTTGAGGGGAAACCATGAGTCTGCTTCTATTAACCGTATATATGGTTTCTTCGACGAGTGTAAAAGGAGGTTTAATGTCAGACTGTGGAAGACATTCACGGATTGCTTTAATTGTCTCCCAGTGGCTGCTCTAGTTGATGAGAAAATTCTCTGCATGCATGGTGGTCTTTCCCCAGATTTGCATAATTTGGATCAGATCAGAAACTTGGCTCGCCCAACTGATGTACCAGACACAGGTTTGCTCTGTGATCTGCTGTGGTCTGATCCTAGCAAAGACGTTAAAGGCTGGGGAATGAATGACCGGGGGGTTTCGTTTACTTTTGGTCCTGATAAGGTGGCAGAATTCCTTCAGAAGCATGATTTGGATCTGATCTGTCGTGCTCACCAGGTTACACCCATAATTTTTTTGTTCGTAATATTTCATATTGCTATCATGTGTTCCTCATTAACCCTTTAAGACGGTTCACAACACAATCAGGAGCTTTTCCTTTTCCTTTAAGATGTGTTCCTCAATCGTTGTTGTGGCTGCTTCTGATTCTTGATTGTATTGGATGGTCTTATTATCCATTTGCTTTTCTTTATTGCCTTAACTGGTATAGTTCTGTCTCTCATCTTCTCATGGAGGAATTGATTCTTGATATAAATTCCTTTGATCCTTTGCATATAAAGTCCTCTATCCTCTGATATCTACTTTTGCTCTTATCTGGAGTCCATTTGTGGCTGCTTCTGATTTGATTGTATTTGATTGTCTTCTGGTAGTTTTCTATTTGCTTACATCCATTTGTGTTTATTTATTGCCTTAACTGGTACACTCCTGTCTCTCATTTTCTCATGGAGGAATGGATTCTTGATATCAATTCCTTTGATCCTTTGCATCTAAAGTCCTCTGTCTGGCATCTCGTTTTCCTCTTATATGGAGTCTTAGAGCTATGTGGAGGATAGTTTTCCGTATTTGGGCCTTTGGCTGACCGTTTGACTTAAGTTTTCCTTTGATGGTTGGTGCAGGTTGTGGAGGATGGATACGAGTTCTTTGGCAACAGACAACTTCTAACCATATTTTCTGCGCCGAATTACTGTGGGGAGTTTGATAATGCTGGTGCAATGATGAGTGTGGATGAGACACTTATGTGCTCATTTCAAGTATTAAAACCTGCTGACAAAAAGTCGAAGTTTAACTTTGGGTAAATCACCAGGAGGCACCAGCAGGGTTTTAGGTAAATTCTAGACCTGCAGTTGCTTGAACTAATCATCTTTCCATTCTAGAAGTTTCTGAATTTAAGTCTTGATGCTGGCATTGAAGTTGCACTTAGCTATGTCCTAGAGAGTCCAGCTTTGTATCCTGAGATATGCGACATTTTAGGAGTCAGTAGTGTAAGTTGAGTTATATACTGTTCAGGGGAGGTTTTTGTATGATGTTTTCGAATGATGAAATTCAAAATGGAGAAAGATTATATTTCATATTTCAAATGTTACTTTTTGGAAAGATAGATTTAGAGAATAGGGTCATATATTAGGATTTTTTTCCGATGAACCATATGTTAGATTTTAAATCCATTAGGATTATAATAAATCAAGTCATTGATCTTGAAATCTATATTGCTCCATTCTTCTGTGATTTTAGCAGAGAAATTCAGTACTCCACTAGATTTCAGTGAAAATTCTTTATAGAAAATCCAGCACCTCAATGAATGAGTTTGGTCAAACTGCATTGTCCAAAATCCAGCATCTTGATATTACTTATTTACATGAGACCGTCTCTGTTTTATGTTTTTTAAATTATTACTTGCTCTTTGAAGCTGCCTTTGTTAATCAAAAGCAGTCGCATTAGATATGCGTCGCCTCCTGATTATCCTTGCTATCATTGCAGTTCTTCCTCGGTACCAAAGTACGACGATAAGCCCTCAGATTTACTGTGGGTGATGGGCTTTAGGTGAGTGTTTAAGAATGCCCAAGATGCAATCAAATGTGAAGATTAAGGTGCTTTTAGTTCATTATTGGAGGAGAAAAGGTGGACTAGAAGAGCGGCCATAAAACATCCATATGCTTTGATGTTTTGAGAAAAAAGGCAGAGTTTGGAGGTGGAAAGGCTGTGAACTAGTAATAGCAAGTTGGGCGTTTTGATAATGTGGAAACCACTCTAATGGCTGGAAACCGGTGAACTGACGTCGGAGTTACTTGATTGCTTCCCCCTTAAATTTCTTCTTGTTTTAACTCCAAGACCGGACTGTTGGTCGTATCTTGCTTCTAATCCGATGTGTTTGCCTGCTTCATATACTCCATTCGAAACTGAACTAAGAAAGGTAAATGTTTTCCCTTTGCTGTTGTGAAGCCAAACCTGGTCCCCTGAAGGTAAATAACATGTTTGTGCAGAGTACCAAGGTAGGGTTATGCTCGCGAAGTAGGTTGATCTATATGTGATAGAACGAGGTTTGGCAAGTGGAGCTAGTGCTTTAGCAGAGTCAATCGAGCGTCTGAAGGGCCAAAAGGTCCATGAAAAATGGATCGTCAGTAGCCATATACTTGTAAGCAGTCCCTGGCATATGGATGAGTAGTGCCATAGATGGGAGTCTAGAGCTGGATCGAATAAGAGAGTGACGACATGGTTGAGCATGGAAGCTCGCAGGAATGCAAAGGAGGCACTTCATCTCAGCGGTAGCATGTACAATGGCGAGATTGTGGGATTCGCTTTTGGTACAACTTAGGTTTCTCATCTTTGTCTAATTCAATTTCAGTTTGATTTGCTTTAGTTTCGTATTGTTAAAAGAATCTACAAAATCAAAAGCAAATTTAATTTAATATAGTAATTATCAGGGTAAATGACACATTTGGTCACTGAGATTACTAAATCGTGTCATATTTAGTCACTAGAAAAATTTAATATCAATTTTGGTCACTCGAATTACTGACACATGTCACATTTGGTCACTTTTCTGTAGCCTCTGTCCAACTCCGGTCACTCGAATTATTGAAAAATGTCACATTTAGTCACTCGTATTACTGAAACATGTCACATTTAGTCACTCTCCCAAAAGTTTCCGTCAAACTACATTAATGGAGTTGGACGGAAACGGACGGGAGAGTGACTAAATTTGACCAGTTTCGATAATTCGAGTGACCAAAATTGATATTAATTTTTTCTAGTGACTAAACATGACACAATTTAATAATCTCAGTGACCAAATGTGTCATTTACCCGTAATTATCATAATTCCAATTTAACGAAAGAAAGAATACGTATACATTCGTCGACAGATTATTGGCCAAATCAAACTCATGACTTTGTGTCTACCAAATCCTTAGATGGGGTGAGCCGTGATGGAACCACAAACAGAAAGTCACGTCCTCTTAAGAAAAAAGATACAGGGTGGAGAAGAATTAGTTAATATGATTAATTATTGGCCGATCTGCCATTCAACCTATCTGATCTGTTCTTGAATCTTGAGAGATTCTCTTTTTTCTTTTCTTCCTCTTTTTCCATGAATTTTTCCTTGTATTTTTGCCTTTAGGCCGTCTAGTTTCTGACTGGTTGGTGGGAAGAACAAAGACCATGTTCCTACATTCTCTTTCTTTCTTTGCTTCCTTTCGTTTCAAGGTCTTATACTTAACTGGATTTGGGCTCACCACTTAGCCGGATGAATTACTATGTCAGTGGTAAAAACAATATGACCACATGAACTTTGTATCTATTGGGTTTAAGCACCGACTTTTGTGTACACATCTTAATGTGTTATCTTTCTTTTATTTCATCAAACGAACTAGGTGAAGGTGTTATTAGTAATCTCTCATCTCATAATTGAATTTTTATCTTCATAGTTCATTATCCTACATTAATGGGCATTTATGAAAGTAATATATTGTTGATGTTATGCAAATGTGCCTATAAATAAAGCATTCCATTATACTAAAAACATATGAGTGTTTTCCGGTGAGGAAACTCGAGTGGTTGATTTCAATTAATGCACATTTTACTTTTTGAACAACGACAAAACACGGTTCACACCTCTTCAAATAATGTTCGAAAGAGAGTGTTTGATGTTTTGTTTTTGATGGATGAGAAAACTAAGATAAATTACTTCTACTCCAATGGAGGTTCAGTGAGAGCT